AGATGTGTATAAGAGAATAACATTGATTTGCATTGAAATTTTAAAAATTTAGTGGCAAAACGGGGTGGGGGGGGGGTGGTCACGTTTCCCTTACTGGATCCTGATTAATTAGCTTATTATTCCAATGAAATGTTTTACATTCATTTTTATTGCATCCAACATATATTTCCAATATTGTTCTTGGCTCATTTTCACCAATGAAACGAAGTCTTATTTTGGAAAAAATTTGGTAACCAAGATTTAAGGGCAAAATCTTGGTGGGTTTGGATAAGAGCATTGCATAATGTTTTCGTTCCATGAATAGCTTTGTGGTTAAGATTCTTAACTTCCAATCCCCAGGATCCTGGGTTCAATTCCTGTCACGTTAACAGGATTTTTTCTCATGATCAAAACAACTCCACTTAATCAGCCTCATATGAGTTTATGTAGAGCATATCTTGTGTTTATGTTTGTCTTAGGAAGGGATATGCCACTTTGAATAGTGACTATGTTCACTTGGCAGGAAGCTGCACCCTGGACACTTTCCCCCGGACATGTCCCCCAGACACTTTCCCCCGTGACATTTACTCCCGGACTCCCCCGCCCCAGGACAATTTCCACCCTTTTACATCATGTGTTAAATAAAACAGTAATTCAAATAGAAGAAATACATCAAGATTTATCATTCTTTTATATTAAATCTTTATTAAATCAATTGCACAATTAACAACAACATTTACATGGAAAATATTTATACAAATGTACGGTAGGCAGCAGCGTATCTAAATAATATAAAAAATGAATTACTGTACAAAATAAAAACTTACAAAGCTATAATTTTTACATAATTATTTTTTTTTATAAAACTAAACTACTTATGATTATCTATTTCAACTTATTTAATAATGCTATCCATATAGAATAAACAAGGTTAGTACATTTGCTCTTTATAGTTCTAACATTTTTATTATTCTTATTATTGTTATTACAGTATTATCATTAAATTACAGTATTATCCGTACAGAATAAACAAGAATACAAGAATACAGAATAAACAATTACATTTGCAATTATTATTATTATTATTATTATTATTATTATTATTATTATCATCATCATTAAATTATGATAAAATGCTATAGAAGACATGGATTATAATTATACAAACATAAAAAAACAATATGAACTACATACATTAAGCCATTAAGCTATTACTATTACACATTTTTATTAAAAGAACACATTTTATTTTGCACTATTGAATATCATAAGAATAACTACTTTCTTAAAATTAATTCAAATAAAAGATTAAAATGTATTGTAAATTAAAATGTATAATTGAAATTATACCACATATTGGAAGATGTAAAAAATGAAAATGTAAACTTCAAATATAAACTGTGTTAAATTATTGTAGATAGTCCATAAACTGTTCTTGACACAAACACATTTCTTGCTTTTTCCTTTTGCGGTAATAATATTTAAAACAATGTTCAAAAGTTCAAAATCTGTTTCCAAACCTTGAAGTTTACAGTGTTCAAAGTTCATGTGATTTATAATAAAAGAACTTCTGTTCCAGTGGGCATGAATCCAAAATTATAGAAATATTTAAACTAATTATAAAACACAAATGAATACAATGCTTGTACATGCATCATTAGATATACAATTACACATAATTGTAGGCATTATCAAAATAGCAATTATTAATCAATAGACTAGAAATCAATAAAATTCATATTCTTATATCAAAACTATATCAGTCAGTACCAACATTAGGTCAAAACTGATTAGGTTCTAGACCTACTAAATCAATTAAACAATGTTACATAAATAGCTTAGGTTTATGTTTAGTAAGTATGCTAATACTTTTATACCAATTTCACTATAATATAATATGTATATGTAAATTAAATATCCAATACTATGCCTGCTATAATAATTATTATGTCCACCAGGACTGGCATAACTATATAATTAGCCTATCTTATATACTGATCATACCTATAATCAAGATGGTTAATGTACTATTTTAAAATGATAAATTAAAGGATTAAAAGAAAGGAAAACATAAAATAACATAGCATCGATTTTACAGTCGCACTCCAATGCCTCCAGGTCAACAAATATAATAGTGTATTTCCATCCAGTGAATGACCTCATGTTCACCAGAGCTATTTACTATAACGAAAGTCACATTACTGACCTTATAATTATCAAATGGAGAACAATGTGTGATTGTAAAACCTTACTGTACATAACAATATACATATATACTGCACTCTTAAAACATTATAATAATAAAATAATGAAAATGGGAACGCAGATAGTATAAGATGTTGACAAGCTCGCATCTTATACATTAATGAAAAGTTCATAACACAATGACCCAAGATATTCCACAAAAGGCTAAAAATGTTTAAAACGTTTCAAAAACGCATCACATGCTGTAAGTGGTAAAAGCGTGAAACATTCAATTGTGATGTAGAAAAGGCAGTAGAAATATTTGAAAACAGAACTATCAAACAAAAAATAATGAGGCAGTATTCTCGCTTAAAATCATTATGTGTACATACTGAATATAATGCTGATACTGTATCTAGAACTGTGGTACATTTTTTTTATAAGAACCAGTAAAATAAGAATCGGTGTGCCAATTTCAGGCTCAAATTGTTCTTATTTTGTTCTTATTTTTAAAAAAATGTCAAACACATCAAAATTATTATTGTACATCATTATACAAAAAAATGGCCCCTGAAAAATAGGCCCCCAAATGACAGGTACAGTAAGTACAGTACACATATACTGTAGGCCTACTGTTTTGCATAGTCGCACCTACACATAAGATAGATATTTTTTAGTTTTTCTAGTTTTTAAAAATAAAAATCTCATTTGACATTTTACCTCAGCCTCAATTTGTTTATATTTTGTTCTTAATTTTTAAGAAATTTCAGCCTCCGTGTTCTTTTAAAATGTGTAGTCTCCCTAGATTCTCAGAAAGCAGGAACAAATTAATATAGCACTAGTGTATACCATAAAATGAAATGTTACAGGTAGGAGGAAAAGCAAAAGGAATCGGACCGGCTTTGAATTGCAATTCATAATTTGCTGTGTTTGCATTAGATTTTGGGCACTAATCATCAGAGATCAAGGTGCCAAGCCTAGAGTACTACAGTGCTACGTCACGATACCATGTGATACTACTCCGCTGCAATCGGCGACACAAAATGCATTCAACCGGACGCCATTTTCACCACTGACAAACCATTAATATCAATTTCTAACGTAATTATTAGGAAGTTGTATCTTAATTTTTCTTTGTGATTAAATATGTGTTCGATAACTAATGCAAAATTTTTGTGTTTTTAGTACATTTTGATGGTAAATTATTAGGTTTTAAAATGCCTATTCCAAAAAGCCTATTCTAAACCATTAAGATTATGAAGTCATTCAGGTGTAGCGAACGGTAACCAACTTTTGGTTGACAACAGAGGGCGCTACCTGGTGTTGTGACGACACAACTGTTGTACTCTATATATCAAGTTTCATGATTCAAATTGAAGCCCCCTCTTTAGTTTGCAAAATCAGCCTCGAAAAGAAGCCCATAGTTCAGTACATACACCGTACATAAATTTAAAAAAAAAATTAAAATAAAAAAATTTAAAACAAGTTTGGTTTATACAGAGGTTTATGTTTAAGGTTAAATACACTCCATGATACAGGTTGATGTTACAGTGGCCTTATTTACTGTTTTATAGTACAAATTAAGAAAATTTACAGCATATATTTTGAAAAGAAGCCCCATCTTTACTTTGCAAATGTAGCCTTGAAAAGAAGCCCATCTCGAAAAGAAGCACATCCAAGGTTTACAAACAAAAGAAGAAGCCAAGGGATTTACGGTACCGTATATCAATAATGGGTCTGAATAACGCTATAAAAGCAGATATGCTTTAAACGTACCTTGGTCAATAATTTGTGATTGTGATGTCTGTAAATAATACATGGTCCATGTGGAAATCTATGTTTATGAATGTTATTAACATGGCCGGCGGAACCGGGGGGCCCCCCACTTTTTGGCAAAAAATATATAATGTCTGGAGATTTTTGTATGATCGGAAATGCAAGAAAAGAAGGAGGGAAGAAGGAGGAGAAGGATTGGAAAGAGAATGTTTATCCAAGTACCCGATCGAGTTACATTTTCTCGCAATTCACATTGGCGGATATGGGGGAAGGGGTAATCGGTCCTGACCCCTCCCTTGGGCAACAAAAAAAAAGGGGAAAAGAAAAAGAATTCTAGACCTACCTTTTCAGGACCCGTGAACTGATTTTTTTTTT